ACAAAATCTGATTTAAAAAAAGGACAGAAATAGATCTTTCTGGAGCTGTTTATTCTTTTGCTGCCCAGACAATGTAGCAGACAGCCTAATGCCCCAGCTGGGTGACCAAAGAAAAGCAGTTCCTTTACAGCAACAGCAACAATGAACTGGTTGATTACTTAATAGATTAATTTAATAGTAAAATATATTTACTGAAGGAGTCGGTTATTTAACATTTCAACACCCAGTTGCTCTGGACTGTGATTTCTCTGCTCCATGTGAGCATGCTTCATGCTGTCCAAGAGCTACAAGTGGAAGCACAGGCTGGAGCTCACAGGCAGGGAGGGCCCATGAGTGGAGGAGATAGGGAGTAAGGGACATAAAGGGACCTTGGATCAAGAGTCAAATTCGTGGGTACCCACAGGTCCTCTGGGCTTTATGAACAAGGCCCCAAAACTGCCATCTTAGCAGAGCAGAAGCCTTGAAAAGACAGTGGGAACACCAGCCACCGTACCCTGATTTGCCTGTGCAAATCGAACAGAGCAACACCTTACATTGACCAAAGCTGATTGCTTAAGTCCACAAAAAACAACACAGAGAATTAGCTGATGAAACCACCTGTCACTGCTTGAGCTGTTTGCTGGCAATTAGGGACAAAAATAGCCTCTCTTCGTGACATGGTGTTCGTCTGATGCCTCTTCGCACCTTCTTGCTCACTGCAGGGCCTGACTGTGCCGCAGCTCCAGCTGGTCAGGCAGGCAGGGTCCCGCTGCCTGTCCTCACACCGCAGGCATGCTCCTGTCCTCAGATGGGATATTGGAAGTCTGAAGAGATGAGCGATGCTGCATTGCCTACTGCTCCTCAACAGCCTCACAGCCAGTACCAGCACCTCTCTTATTTTCCAAGACTTCTGTTGCTGATCAAAAAAACCACTTGTGAAGACACGTTTACAGTTTCCCCTGCCAGCACAGAGATTTCTATCTGACAGGCAAAACCAAGGTAACGTTAAAAAAACTAGAGACAAAAGAAGAAAAGGCCTTTTGGCTCAGTCCAAGTCTCATGTGCTCTACCAGATTTCTTGGTGGCAAAATAAGTAATTTCCTCCTGCTGTGAAAATAGAGTGTCTTTTCCTCAGGACTTGGGATATTTGTTAATACCTAAACCAGTCCCATCGCTTGCACTCCTCTTGTCAGTGAAGAGCATCTAATTTTGCACCTAGTACATCCTTTTTTATTCATGTGCAATGGGTTGATAGTAAAAGCCTCTACAATAAGACTTGGCTAATTCTGGGCCACTGCTGAGTGAGTATATCGATGCATGGGATGGCACTCTGTGCTGGGGCATCATTTGGCTTGTTCAGCTCCTTTGAAGTGTGAAGGCCTTTGAACATAAAAAGAAGACATCATCTGGAGATGAAAATATGAAAACAAACAAAAGTGGATGGGAGCTTTTCTTCCAGGCCCCTGTGCAATCACTGACAAGTCATATCCTTCCCTTGTCTCACTTCCTTCTGCTGTAATTAGAAGCAAGCTGATCTCCTATCACAGAGGGAGTAAAGGGGACAGTGTAGGATCAGTGATTGACCTGACTTTTATGAAGAAATCTGTGATTTTGAGGTGTATTTTATCAGGGCAGGACCAAAGCATTCTGTGACTTCATGGTTGCCAGACATTTTGTGACAAGAAGGGTGACAACCGTGAGTAGGTCTGTGCCCTGCCCTTGTAGTGTCTCCGAATTGCCAACAGCTGGAGCCATCCAGCAGGACAGAGATCTCGAAAATGCAAACCTGCCCTTTCCCCAAACAAGGCCCAGAAAGCCCAGGAAGCAGCCAAAACCAAGCAGCTTAAAGGCTGTCCAGGCTCACGGGAGAGAGGACAGCCCAGCAGCAAAGCAGGAGTCCCATTGCCAGCGCTGAGCCATGACCTGAGGAACCTCACAGACTGCACTTCTTGGAAAAAGAGGGGAAAATATCCAGCGCTAGCTTTGAAATTACACTTTTGCATGGGTTCAGTAAATTACTTAGCGGTATGAAACAAAGGTCAGTGAGCACAGAGCTGCATTAGTCATGTAGTTGCTGTGCTGCTGAACAAAATGAAAGTGCCTAGATAGCTGAAAGAGATAGAAAGGTCAGTATGTCCTTGTGATATGTGCAGTTGATAAATAGGCATGTACTGGTGATAGGATAGGCTTATTGGTGATAAGATAGGTTGGAATGAGATAGATCAGCATTGGTGATATGATGGAGTGTTACATAGTGTTGATCAGACGTGATTACCAGTACTTTATCATGTCTCATGTTATCACTGTGGGTACTTAGTTAGAAGATGCAGTTCATCTTCTCCCTTGCAAGATGGAGAGTGCAAGAATCAGAAGAGCTTTAAAGATTCAGGTAAAACAGAGGGAAATGAGCGAGTGGAGAGAAGGGGGTAGGGAGAGGTCAGCAAGAAAAGAGGGGATTTGAGGAAGTTTATGGGAGAGCAGAATCAGCCATAGAGCACCAAGCTCTGAGTCTGTGCTAACTACAGCCTCTGCCTTTATCTTATCACTGACACAGCTCTTGCTCTTACACTCAGTGCCTCTGGGATCCATCAGCGAAAGGACTGAAAGGTCCAGCAGAGTGTTTCAGTATTTGGACCTGCCAGCAGTGGCTGAGGAGAGAGGACAGGGCTGGATATATCCATGCTGTGGATGGGGAAGAAGAGAGGCTGTCCTAGCCTGCAGGGCCATTGCACTGTGGAACCTGGAGATGTGTCTTACTGAAGGGGCTGAGCCCATTCTGTGATTGCAGACTGGGGATGCCCAGGAAGGAGGCAGTGCCTGAAGTCAAAGGGGATTCCCCTCGGGGTGACTGTCAGACCCCAAACATGCCAAAAGCAGGAGTCACAAAGACACATGAGTCACAGAGCCCTGTGACTTCGGGTCCTGGTTGTCTCACTCCCTTTTTCCCCTACAGGAACTCCTGACATTTTGCGATGCTCTTGGAACAGCCAGAGCAACATCCACAGCCCAGACAGCTTTCTGGAAGAGAAGCCCTTGCCCCTTACTCTTCTGGCATAATCTCAAGGGATTTATGTCTTCTCTGTCAGGGTGTGGGCACACACACTCACTTGAAATTGTCTCCAACTAAACCAGTAGCTCCTCTGGGAATACGACTTCTCTGGTACTTTCCTTCTCATTTGAAAAAGTACCAGCAACCAGTTAGCTGAAAATTTAATATGAGAAATCATTTCAAACCAGAAAATGGATTTGTTTTGAAAGAAAAGTCTAAACAAAATGTTTTGTCAGTGGTTTTCAAGTAGAAAGCACAACGAACCTTTATTTTCCAGCAAAACAGCTTCTTTCTCTGGGAGGAAAACATGACATAGGGGATAATTTTTTCCTGTCTCTGCCACTAACTCACTGAGCAAAGAGGAATAAGCCACTTTCTCCTCTGATACCTCTGTTTTCCGCTTTACTGGTAGGGATAATATGTCCGTCGTTCTCAAGCATACAGGACAAGCTAATGGGATTGAGAGAGAAAATGCTTTGGCGCGTAAATAGTTGGTGTCACTGGAGGCTGTAGTCTAAGCGAGGAGAGGGCAACAGTCATGTTTTTCATCAGACCTAAGTTCTCTGAACAGGCTATACTGAGAGGTTAGTTTAGGCCTCATACCCGAATGCTCCCCAGAAACTGTTGTCTTCAGGTCAAATCCACCTCCCATTAAGGTTTTAGATAAGGGCTGTGCCCTGGCCTGTACTGCAGGTGTTTATTTTACCTCCTGGACAAGGTACTCTGTATGAGCTACTGTGTGGCTTTCAGATACCAGAAGATGGTGAGAGATAAGCTTTTCTATTCACTGTATCTCAGGGCTCTGATCTTCTGTTTCCCCCACTTCCCCAGCCTTCAGAACCACTCTGCTCTCTGCAACAGTGCAGACCACAGTCCCCCCAGCATGGGTAATCCACTGCATCCGGGGGGCGGGGGTAGACCAGTACAAGCCCCAATAGGTGAGTTTCCACAGTGGACTTAGCTGAGCAGCCATATATGCCATTAGCTGCAAGAAAGCTGCAAAAAAGCGCCAGCTCTGCAGTGAAGCCAGCCCAAGGGTGACAAGGTTGGTGACTCTGCAGGGTTATGGAGAGCATCAAGGAGGGAAACCCTGGCCTAGTGGAAGGAAATTACAATTATTTTCTTGTCAGCTTGAAGCAGTTGCAAACATTTATGATAGTTCAATAGTCTGAGCCACAGGTATGTTAAAAAATATAGAATAGTTTATTTACAGGATGACCAATTTTCAGGCTTGAAAAGCAAGATGCTGATTTCATTAGCACAGAGGGGCCAGATGGGATCCAGGAGGTGAGCAATGGGCCCTGGGAGTTTAGTTGTTTCAGGAGCCATAACCACCTTGGAGGGCTGTGGCAGTGCAGGGGGGATGAACACTGTGCTCTGTGCTGAAAAGGTACCAGTGCCCGTGGTGTAAGAGATGCAGCTGGCAGGGTGCACGAAGGACAAAGCAGTGGCACCATGCAGCTCTGCCCCACTGCTCCTCCCCATCTCTCCTGGAAGCGAGCAGCACACCAGCTGCTTCCTGGCCTAAACCAAGGGGAAGGGGACTCGACGGCTCCCCGTCCTGTGTCACACCACATGCAAACCTCAACAGAAATGTACACTTGGCAGTTTCCTCTGAAATAATGGGTTTTTAAGGGATCTGAAAAAATCCAGGTCTGCTGGAGCCAACACAGTTCGTCCTTAGTGAGTCTGGTAGGCATTAAGCTCTGAGGTCCTGGGATAGTTTTGGAAGTGGGTGAGAAGGAACTATAATATTCTCTGTACTGTCCTGTGCTGGGTCAGGCTGGAGATGTAAATCATGGCTGGCTGTTCAGAGACATGAGGCACAGCTGAGTGCCCTTGTCTGCTGTGACAGCATCGTCTCCCAGGTTCTTAGTTCTGGAACTACTTGAGAAACAAAACCGGCATTTGAGAGATTAAAGCAAAAATTCGCAAAGAGCCCTTCCAGGCCCCATGCAGGAAGGGTGTGTGTTCAGGAGGAGAGAGGGAAACTCAAGGAAGAGCTGCTTTTGACTTGTCCTCTGTCTCTGGCCCATTTTCTGTCTTGGTAGCAATACTGTAGTAGTAGGAGCGGATTATGTTTTCCACAGTAGTAAATCCTGGACGCTCTTCCCATCTGCAAGGGCAGAAAGGAACAAATAGAGTCAACAGAAAGGACAAAAGTGGAGTGATGCAATGAGAAGATACCAGGTGCAGAAGAACCTGGGGCAGAACAGCAGCCCAGTTGTACCAGGGCTTAGGAGGGCAGCTGAGACTTTTCTGGCAGGGTCAAAGGCACAGAGGCTCTGACTTCTTCCAGGATTGGTACAGGCAAATGGAGGGGTACGATAATAAAGAAATAGGTCCATAATTCATCATGGACTGGAGAATGAGGTTAAGGCAGGAGACACCATTTGCTTTGTGTTGTCACCATCCAGACAGTGTGTGCTGTTCTGATGGACCTGCTACCCACCAAAGAGTTGAGCTAGTGAAAGCCTTACCTGTAGGTCCAGCATTGCTGCATGAGGGCGTACATCTCTGCTGGGCAGTCCGTGGGACAGTCCATGCGCTTCCCTTGCTCTATGAAGCTGATGACCTCTGGGCCTTTCATTTTCTAGGATAGGATCAAGTGGGAAATGCTTTAATGTTTTTGGAGCTGGCAACAGGGTTAGAAGAGACAGATTAGAGCTGGGCCTAGGGTAATGCTTTGGATCCATGCACCACACACCCTGTACAGTCACTGTTTTCAACCCCGGCACCCAGCAGCGATGTCTCACGTTGTGGCCAGCCCAGCCTGCAGACTCCATCCCAAGCATGGGCAGAGCAGTGGCTGAGCAACTGATTTTTCAGCTCTGCAAGTGAGCAGAAGGATCAAAGAGAAGATCTGCTTTGATTCAAACCCAAATGAATTTGTTTTCTGTTTCTTCTCCCTTAAATGAACACAAAGCTGCAGGATCCAAACAATCTAATTTGTGCCTTTTGTAAAGTGGAAGTGAGCCTGTCTCCTTTCCCCTCTGTTCAACAGTGGGAAGACCACCCACTCAAGGAAACTGTAGTTTCAGTGTGTGTCAGCCTGTTACAGAGTGGGAGACTAGACTGTGGCACCCATCCATGATGGACCCAGCTCTGCCTCACCTTGTACGGTTTCTGCCCGTAGCTGAAGGCCTCCCACATGGTTACACCATAGCTCCATACATCACTCTTGCTGGAGAACTTGTGATAGAGGATGCACTCTGGGGCATACCATTTCAAGGGCCACTTTCCTGCTGTCCTGGCCTGTAGCAAAGCAAAGACAAACATTTCCACCCTGAGACACAGACTGCTATGAGCTGAACCTGAAGTCTGCTTTGCTAAATGTTTGTGTCAAATGCAATCCGACACTGCTGAAAAATATCCCCTTGCCCTGGGCTGGGAGCTCAAGGCCCCAAGGCCTGAGCCTCAAACCCCATCCCAGGCCCTGCTGTCTTGTTGGCCCTGCTCAGCCGTCCCTGGGTGCAGTACGCTGTCCTGCGGTGCCACTCTCCTCCCGCACCCCAGCCCCAGGGCTCAGTGCGGTCATGCACTGGTGCATACTGCTGGGAAGATCAGCCCTGGCTCACTCTTCATCACCTTCTCTTCCCTGCTCTCTGCTCTGGCTTCTCTCCTTTCTCCTCTCTCCTGTTATCCCACTGCACTGCATACCCCTCGCTGCCTCTGCATCCATCTGAATTTCCTCCTTGCCACCTGGACCTTCGCAAAGCCCCTTTTAATGTCACAGCAGTGAGGCCAGCCAGAGCATGATGTGGTAGTGGAGCAGGGCTCCTGAGAAGAGCCCAGACCCCCTGCCTCTGGGCTTCTCAGCCCCCAGCCAGGAGGGCTCCTGCTAGCCATCTGGATCCTTTGCTGTGCTTACACTTACCTTGTAGTAGCTGTCATCAGCGCCAAGAGCCTTGGAGAGTCCAAAGTCACTGATCTTGGCATAATGCTGGTTGACCAGTAGGACATTCCTGGCTGCCAGGTCTCTGTGGACAAAGTTTTTTTCCTCCAAGTACTTCATCCCCATGGATACTTGGTGCATCAGCTCCACAATATTGCTGACTATAATCTCGTCTCTGGGGAAGATGAAAGGACAATGCAGTAATAAAGGACCTGCCATTACTCTGTGCACCATGGTCCCCTTCAAGTTTCCTAGTTGCAAGGGAGAATGAACATGGACATCTCTGCTCCAGAAGCATCAGTTGTTCCTGTTACCTCACATGAAAAGACATCTCTTTCTACTGTTATCAGCTTCCCTCCACCTACAAAGCTAGGATCCCCTGGCAGCAGAGAGTTTGATGAGATGTGCAGAAAATCAGCTAGCCACATTTTATTCAGTACTCACTTCTTGGAAGCCAAGAACTTGTTGAGTGGCCCTCCAGAAGCCATCTCCATCACGAGCATCAGGGACTCTGCCTCGCAGACCCCAATCATGCGGACAATGTAGGGGTTGTCTAGCTGATGCATGATCTGGGCTTCCTTCATCATTTCATCTTTCACTGTTTTCTCATTGTTGCTCTTCAGCACCTTGATGGCCACATCAATCTGCTTCCTGCACAGGGCACAAGAGGAACACACATGGGATGAACTAAACAGCAGCTGGACTCATGTATCACAGCCAGGAATGCAAACCACTTTCTCACATGATACTGTTTGATCTCTCAATGGCAATCTCAGTGGCCTGTTTTGGCAGAGCCCTGCACAATACTGGTATTCCAGACCTGATAGAAGGCCAAAGAGAAAAGGATCACCTCACCCTTATAAGTCTAGGACAGTATTCGCCATCTGTAGATCTGAAGATACATCACCTCACACACTGAGATCTGCATCATCATTGTCATTTTTCATGGGGGAAACTCAGGCACAAAGTGGGAAAAGGCCATCTTTGTGGACTCAGACAACCAACGACAGAGCTAAGGATGGTACATCTCCTCAGTCTCATTCCTTTGCCCTGACATGGACCAAGATGACCTCAGGAGCATGGACTTGCTCCTCTGAGCCCAGCAAATGCCTTCAGAAGTGGCAGTCTTATGCCTGGGGATGTGCAGTGCAAATTACACTCTCGGGGCAATGAAGCTATCACTCAAAGTCCATGGAAAGTCACCACCGACCTTCTAGAGTATCTCTTATACCTCCACCCCATTATCACTTTAGGGTCCATGTAGCTAGAAACAGGATAGCTGGGGACACCTCTGAGCTCAGCCTGGAGCACCCTCCTCCAGCTTCCTCAGCATCCTTCAGGGTGGCACTCACTTTCTCATTTTGTAGACTCCTTTCTTGACGCAGCCAAAGTTTCCTGCCCCCAGTTCCACTTCATCGATCATCAGGTGGTCCCTCTTCAGGAAAAGTTTTTTATCCTTCAGTTCCTCAGGGTCACTGTACGGGCTCTCGTAGACACTGGTGTCCATGGGTAGCAGGCGTGACTTTCCTACACCTTCCCAAGAGATACAGTTGTTTATAACTTTAAACAACATACCCTTCCCAATGGGCCAAGGATGACTGTATGAGGTTCAACAAGGCCAAGTGCTGGGTCCTGCACTTGGGTCACAACAAACCCATGCAGCGCTACAGGCTTGGGGAAGGGTGGCTGGAAAGCTGACAGGCAAAAAAAGACCTGGGGGTGCTGGTTGGCAGCCGGCTGAATATGAGCCAGCAGTGTGCCCAGGTGGCCAAGAAGGCCAGCAGCATCCTGGCCTGTATCAGAAATAGTGTGGCCAGCAGGAGCAGGGAAGCGATTGTTTCCCTGTACTCAGCACTGATGAGGCTGTACCTTGAGTACTCTGTCCAGTCTGGGGCCCCTCACTACAGGAGAGACATTGAGTTGCTGGAGTGTGTCCAGAGAAGGGCAACAAAGCTGGTGAAGGGCCTGGAGCACAGGTCTTATGAGGAGCGGCTGAGGGAACTGGGGTTGTTTAGTCTGGAGAAAAGGAGGCTGAGGGGAGACTCTCTACAACTACCTGAAAGAAGGTTGTAGTGAGGTGGGTACTGGTCTCTTCTATCAAGTAACTAGTGACAGGACGAGAGGAAATGGCCTCAAGTTGAGCCAGGGGAGGTTTAGATTGGATATTAGAAAAAAAATCTTTACTGCAAGGGTTGTCAGGCATTGGAACAGGCTGCCCAGGGAAGTGGTGGAGTCACCATCCCTGGAGGTGTTCAAAAAACGCATAGATGTGGCACTTCAGGACATGGTTTAGTGGGCATGGTGGTGTTGGGTTGACGGTTGGACTCGATGATCTTAAAGGTCTTCTCCAACCTAAACAATTCTATGATTCCCCATCCCTCTTGACCTCACTGATTGGGAAGGTTTTCTCTAGTTTCTTGGCCAATTCTCCTTCAAGTTCCAGCATTCAAGCCTCCCTCCTGGGCATCTCCCTTCCTTTCACAACCCATGGCCTCTCCTAGTTACAGCTGCTGAAGGAGCCAGGATGGGAAGAGGTGTCTGAGCATTCCCACTCCACATATCAGACCCTGCAGGACCCAGGCATGTGCAAGACTTCACCCCACTGAAATATAACTGAATAAACTGAGCAGTAGGCAGAATAGAAGATGGGGAATAGGACAGGGCTTGATTTACTGGGTACGATGGGGAATGGGATAGGGTTTGATTTACTGGGATATGGGTGTGGGCAAACAGTTTTGCAATATTCTTGTCTCAGGACCCTGAAACGACTGGGAGGCTCCTGGGTGCCTTTGTGAGAAAGGGGCTTTGTAGCACAGCTCTTTGACCAGAAAGTGATATAGATGTGTCAGGTAACCCCCATGGCTCCTGTGACATCCTCAGGTCCTGTCTCCTGTTAGGAGGAGAGGGCTTTCAAAGATGCTTACCTACAGGCTCTGGTGTGTATCCATCTGCATTGAGAGGCCCAAGGTGTCTCTGGAAAAGAAACAGGGATAAAGTGGATAAAGGAGCCAGGGGAAACTGCTTCAGTTTGAAATGGGAGAGGAGAGGGATGGGGAGCCTCTGCAGCCCAACAAAGCCCCAGCTGGGGATTCCCTCTAAAAGGCCCTGAGGTAGGCACAAGGGATTGGAGTGGTATTGAGCAGACTTCTCTTCCAGTCCAGGCTGGCAAGTACCCCCACTGCAGCTGTACAGCAGGAATCAGAGCCTGGGGGTATTCAGTGCCATGGAGCCAGAATGCAGCATCACCCTCCAGTAACCCAGCCTGTGGTCTGTGCAGGGTGAGGTGCTGAGGGCTCTGTGTTTACCTGAGCAGTGAGGGCCACACACACAGGGCAGAATTTTGCTCTCTGCCCCCTCTACTTTCCCCATCCCAAAGTGATAAGTCTCTTGCAGCAGTGGGGTCATCCCAGCCAAGTCTCTGCAGTTTGCTTTGAGACAAGGAGCGAAGGGAAGCCTGGAAGCAGCTCAGCTTGCAGCCGGCACACCTGCCTGCCTGAAGAGTGGCCCCTGTGAGCACGTACAGACACTGTATACAGCCACTGTCCCAAAAGCAGACAGCGACAAAGCGGTATGGTACACATTTGTCCAGCACAGCTTTGAACACCAGCCCTGCTTGCAGCAGATTCGCCACAACATGGGAGCCCACCGCAGATTGTGAAAGCTCTCTGAGAAGATGGGTGAATGCTCAGGCCTTTATTTAGCCTCTGCTGGGCTCCGGGATGGGCTGCTCATATAGCCCAAACTAGCTGATTTCAACACCGCTCGGCACTCGGAGCGGTGACTGAGCGCAGACATACCCCAAGGCCAGGGACGCAGAGGGAGCACAAAGACCTGGCTGGTGGCCAGTGGCCAGCAGCAAGGCTGAGTGTTCCCAGAATCCAACCACGTCTTCCTTGCTCCTGCCTGGCAAGGAGGGCAGGGGGGAGAGGGCTCCCCAAGGACAGGCCCACATGTTGCAAGGAGCACAGTATGAATGGAAACCATTTTCAGCTCTAACAGTAGCTGTGCCCAGCTATTCCTCATCCCCATCCAAGCTGGAAAGGGGACAACATTGCAGCTGGGCTTAATGTATTCCATTTGAGTTACTGAGTTTTAGAGAAGAGCGGAGTTTGATCAGCAAGCTTGAAATGCAGTAACATTAAACCACTGAGGTACCAATAAAACAGACCCTCCCCAAAACTTACGCTCATGGAGGGGTGGGTTGGTGGAACCGGTGCTGCAGATGCTGTGAATCAGGAGAGAGAAGTTGTTATTAAGTCTGCCTATGCCCCAAGCAGGATCAGAGCTTCAGTCCTTGAAGGACTGGGCGGATGCCTGTGTCTGATTCTCCCCCGCCAAAGGACGTTTCCACAGCTTCAGCAAAAAAAAGTGTGGAAACGTGCCTGGATGTGGGTGTTATTCCCAGACCAGCCCTCAGGGCAGGTGCAGGCCCACTGGAGCACCCTACAGTCTCCATTGGTCCCAGAGCAGGGACTGACTGAACTGTAGCCCAGACCTCCCTGCCCAGGAGAGCGAGGGTCCCATGGGCAGGCTCTGAAGTGATGTTTGTGACACTTGGACTAGGACAAAGTGACCCATGGTTTTGAATGCTCAGCTCAAAAGACCCACCAGGAGCCAGACTTGCAGGACATGTTGTTTCCTGCTGCCTAAAAAGCAGGTCATTTTTCAGAAGCTGTCTGTTTGGCACCAGAAGTCCCTAATCCATTTGGAGCACTGATTCCCCCATCTGCTCCTGTCTTTGGGCCACCCTAGACCAGGCCTGGACAGTGGCCACTTTCAGCAGACAACATGATGTGAGAGTTGTCCAGTTTGCCAGAGGAGCAGAGACCTCACCATTCTCTTACCACCAAGGTCTGAGCAAGGTTGGACACAGTAAAGGAAACTTGGGCTAGCGCAGCTCAGACTTAGTGATAAACCACGCTTAGTGGTAAACCGAGGCCAGGGATGACACTGAGAGATGTCAGCTCACCTGGCATGTTGGGGTTGGGGCAGGCTTCCCTCAGGTAGAAAATCAGCCCATCTGGTTTAAGTTTTAGGTACTCCACCAACTGGGAAAAGAATGGGAGGAAAAAGATTATTATGAGGAGAAAATCATCTCTTTTTTTTTGCAGGCAATTTGTGTGGCTTATGGTAATGATTTCTCTCAGATTTATGTCAGACAGGGACTAAACTATTTCTTTGTCTCCTCTCCTATCTGTGCACTCAGGGATCTCCTAGAGTAAGCGCTTGCATACCTGGATATCTGCCAGAACTGGGAAGAACTAGGGAAGTTAGATAAGGACTGAAGAAAGACAAAAGGAAAATCACCAGTAGCAGAGCTGGGTAGGGCATTTTCAGTGTAATGTTATTGTTGTTCCAGCCAGAAAGGTTTTTAAGTCATGTTGTGTTTGATAAAGCCTGAGAGAAACCTTTTGCTTTCCCAGAGGAACCCCAGGGTTAGCTCTTTGGATCCCGGGCAGTTTTTCAGTGCAGCAACTGCTAGTTCAAGCACAGTGGGGACTTGACTCTGGCTGGAGACGACCAGACCAGCCCCTGGCCACTGGACCACAAGGGAGACAAGGCTTTCTCTTCCCCTCCTGTCTGTCTCAGATTTCATCTGCAGTTGGGAGCCTGGCACGGTTCTGTTGCCATAAAATGCCCCAAAGTCTTTGTTTTCAATCAAATTCAGAGTGAAAACAGTCCTGGGAATTTGGAAAATTCAGCAAAACAGAGTTACTGATCCCCAGACAGCCCTGCCCAGGAGGAAGCACTGGTATCCGTTCCCTGGAGAAGGTCCGAGGTGTGAGCTGGGCTCTGGGGGGGGGGGCATGCGACTCCCCAGGAGTGCCAAGAGTTGCTGGACCATATGTCACATTCCCTAAAAACCCTGCCTCACCCTCATGAGGACTGCTGGGGCATTACAGCCATCTCCAATTCCCAAAGCCCCTGACTCTCAGGGGTGATAGGATGTGTGTCCTGGCACTTGGATCTTCAGTCATGTAAAGATTTTGGCAGCTGGCTCAAGACTTCTGGCCTGCCGTCTTCTTCGCACAGAAGTCAGTCGCCTGGACCATAAAGTGGCAATCTGCACGCAACAGTTTTGCTGATCCAGAAGCAGTGTGGGGGACAGGAGGGACAGCCCGGGGTGAGCAATCTTATCGGGGCTTGCTGCAGGCAGAGGTCCGAGGTGCGCACTGTGACTGAACGCGTGATGTTTGCTGATGGGGTGCAAGTGTAACTAATATAACCATCTCAAGTACCCTGGCTTAAAGCTAGAAATGAAAAGCACTGATTGTCTGGACTCCTTGGAGAGGCACCAGACCAGCATAAGGCATGAAGGCAGTGGTAAAGCTAGCACTATTTCAGAGCTGCTGTGATAGCCCAGACTTAGATCTACTTAGCTAGGAGTGCACAGAAATGAATGCAATAAGGTGAGCTCATAGACAGCCAGACCCAGGGAATGTAAGGGTTTTCTGGAAGGGGCTACAACCACCCATGTACGGTCTTAAAGCCTTTAAAGCTCCACATGGCCTTTCCTGCCCCTCAAGGTATGGGCAGCTATAACAAGGGAAAAGTGCCTTTGCTTTATTAGGACACCAGTGGTCAGCATCCCACAGTACAGTACCTGCCAGAGCGTGTCGAACTTGGTCCCCTCGGGGATGGAGTACTTGCCGGACTTGTCCTGGTCTATCCGATAGTGATACACTGTTTTGCCATAGACAAGGGAGAGGGCGTAGGCACTGTTTTCCTTCCTTTCTCTCAGCCTGGTAGGAAGCAGAACTATTAAAAACAACTCCAGGTTTTGCACTACAAATTATTGTGGCTGCAGCGGTGGTAGGTCACTGGGTGGGCACTTGGAAAGGTGTGCCTGCATCCCACTTTTGGAATTGCCACCTTCCCGACACCTCTCTGCAGAGGCTGAAGAGGGACCCTTCACGTTCAGTCTCTTGCCCCTCTTCTCTACCCTCTCCAGCTAATTCTTTCTTTCCCTAACTCATTCAGGAGATAATTAAATTAAGGGCTGTCTCACCTCAGCAGAGATGCAGAGCAAATGCTTTCTCCTGTATTTTATCAGCCATACATTGTCTATGTGTCAGTGTTAAATGTCTTCACCCACTGAACCCTTTATCTCATACCATCTGGTGCATTAACAAGCATACTTCATAGAGATATCTAAACATGAGAAACAAATAAAGCTCAGGACTGGCTCTTCATGGAGGCCAGACACTGGACAATAACAGGTCCGGGGTGTCAGAAGCTGTCTTTGAAAGATCTGTAACCACAGTCTGACCACATTCAGCTAAACCTCCTCTCAGGCACTTCATGGAAACAAATAGCTACAGGGTAGTGGAGGTGGGGAAATGGTAAAAAGTACAGGGAATGCAGCATGTGCCAGGGTTTTGCATACGCACAGGAATTTCCCATCAGGTTGTGCCCCTGAGTAGAGCCTCCGTTCAGCTTCATCCCGGGCGATGCTGCCATGGTACCAGGGCATCCTCTCATGGGCTGTGGTGGCGATGAGCTTCTCCACCTGTGGAGCCTGGCTTATGATGGCTTGTTCGAGTGCATCCCCCTGGAAAAGAGTGAGAAATGAGACCTCATGCCACTCTGCTGCATTGTTGCATGGTTCAGCACAGTTTATTTTGCACCCTTTTGGGCAGATGGCACAGGAAACTTGGAAGGTCTTGTAATTGAAGTGCCTGTGGCCTTAATCATGCCTATAGGAATAGTGAGTTGAATTCTGTTCTGCTGCAGAGCAGAATTCCTTGCTTATCTAAATTGGTCCCATCCCTCGAATCCAGCTGAAGTCCGTTGCTGGTGAGGGAAGAGAGAACTCATCATACTCGTATGGGGTGTCTTTCAGCCTTGCATTCCTAGGAGACCAGGACCTCTTTCCGGTGCTTCTGCCTTCCTGGGTGCTCACTGTCCCCAGACACTACAACCTGTAAAGAGCAGTGCAGTCTGGAAATCAGGGTTAGGAATTAGGAGACCCTAAATTAATTTTACTGGCCCCACACTTCTTATAAACAACTGTAGTTTTTCGTTTGCCAGTAGGTGGCAATGTCCTTTGTGTTATCTACCAGTGTACACAGATCAGCTTCATGGAGAAACCCTATAGAATACCTCATTCTGTCAAGCACCTTTGGTCTAAAATAGGCCAAATTTAGAGATCTTTTGTAGAAAGGCTCCATAAGGAGAATGCCTGAGCCATCTTTCTGCAAGGACTTGTAAGTGTCTGAGTAGCCACTGTCAAGATGACAGCAGGTAGAAGGAAATTAATTACGTGGCTGCCAGCGTGACCATTTACAGAGTTTTGCCTTACACATATATTATATATATTCCAGTCTGCAATAAAATGCAGTAACATGTCTGTAGCTATTTTAAAATTTAAATAACAGACCTGATCCAGTACCCAGTACCTCAGTCTGGTATAGGCATATTCTCCTGAACAGGCAAAACCTCTGCTGACTTCAAACAGCGAGGAAAACCAGAGCAAGAATTTAAGTCTGGTTTCATTACATCTTCAGCACATTGTTATGGAGGCACAGGCACCTCACGCAGTGAGCATTGGTCTAACTTCAGCAAGCGTCCCATGTGCTGCAGAGGAGCAAATGGCACATGAGAAATGCTTGCAAAGTGGGCAATGACCTCTAATGCCCTGCAGAGCAGGCGCAACATCAGCTGTTCAGAGGAAGAGTGTGAAGGCTTGGGAAGGTGTTTAGACCTGTTTCTGAAGAAGAAACCGGAAAAGAGAGATTTAAGACTGCTCTTAGTGCCAGCAGCCTGGGAAGAGAAGGACCTTGCTTTACCATGCTGTAAGAGGGAGATGACAGCGACAGAGGAGGTCAGGGCAGCAAGCTGCAGTAAGCCCCTGGGGAGCACTCCTTGCACAGTCCCCCACCACCTTTGGCAATGGCCATTACCTCTAGTTTCCATGTCTGCCGGACATATTCGCGCACCATATTGTCCCTCATGCTGTCGAAGACACCAGGCTGGGGGTCCACACCACAGGGGCGGTTGCAGGGCTTGCGGAGGGTGCAGCAGAGCCCATCGGCATCCTTGGAGTAAAATTCACAGAGTTCCTCTGGCCCACAGTGCGCTTTGCCCCCAGCAATGGCGTAGGTACCGTTCATCTGGCGCTCAATGGCGTAATGGTAAAACTGCAGGTTGCAGACCATGGAGAGGACATACCCCCCCAGACTGCGCAGGCATTGCCGCAGCAGGAACAGGCCATCCGACATCCCCGCCAGCTTGAGGTACTCCTCTGCTTCTGACCTGGCAATGCTGCCGTAGTAAAAGGGCAGGTGAGCAGCAGCATCTGGCATCTCTGTGCGCTTACCGGGACTGCTTGGGTTGGCTCACGTGCTGCTGGTTCTCGATCTGGAAGAGAGAAGCAAAATTCTTCACTGACACATAATTTTGCAAAAAGGTTCAATTGGAATTCAGACTCATCTGTCTATAGGTTCTTCAGCCCTCACCTATCTGTATGGTCATTTCAATCATTGCATGGAGAGTAGCGGTGCCTTCATATCCCCAGCCAGAGAATACCACAATGATTCCCCTATCCTGCCCTGAGTGGAGCTAGAAAGCGTAAGTAAAAATCCACCTGACCTTCATTTAAAGATTTCAAGCAATAGAGAATGCACCAAATCCTACAGTGAATAGTTCCAACGGTTAATTACCTTCACTATTAAAAATGTGCTTCTTACACACATCCCGAAGTTTTTAGCTTTGATTTCCTACCATTTTCTCTCCAGCCCTGTTCACAATAAAAGGAAATTCTTTTGCCTCTCTGAATAAATTAGTTTTGCCATGAGGGTCTATAAGGCCAAAATCTTAAATGCAATGAGATTAAAACGCAAGATGGATATTAAATGTCTAAGAAACATTTAGATACACAATTGCACTAAACACAGCAAAAGGAGATAAAGATAAACCCAAGTGCTTCTGGGCAGATATTAACCATCTGTTGACAGGAACAAGAAGAAACCTTCCTCTAGTTGTCTCTTGAAAAATTTACGGATTTTTTCCCACGATACCTGACTCTGGCTGGTTTCTGAATTTGGCTGATACTCTGATCCCATTTGACAGTTCCTATTTCTACATTGTGCACATGCTCCAGAGAAAGCGTGAGCTCAGATGTGGCCAGCCATCACTGCAAAGTGAGTTTAATCCCACTGTCTCTGTCGAGCTGCAATGTGCAAGCGTTACTGGAGCCCCCTGTTCAGAACAGCCTAAAACCAGAAACAAACCTACCACCGTGCTGCTGCAGCACCAGCTCGCAGTGGGTATCCAGTGAGAAATGGCACTTTGTTGACTGAGTCACTGCAGAGCCCCTTCTGCCAAAGAGCTATAGGTCTTGTATCAAATCATCTAAAATCCCACCCACAAAAAGAAGCCAATTTCCGGTGATTAATGGAAACAGTATCATATTCAAAGGGTCTCATTTGTTCACTAGAGCCTCATCTTTGATTTTGTAATTGCGCAGATGCTGACCCCAAAAACATCAGAGTATTTGTCTCCATCTGCATTTCCCACAAATGCGTCACTCGCATTCAGAGTAAAGAAAACACTGGGTCTTTGGCTAGCGCGCTGGGTATTTGCCCTGATTCTTCCCAACAGAACTCTCATTTCTGAACATGATGGGATAAGTCGCTGACCGACGGGGTGGGCCCACTGTGCTATTCCAGAAGCGGCCTCTGCTCTCAGGCAGTGGCTAGAGCTGTGCCTGGGCTGGTGGTCAGCCCTGCTCCGTCTCAGCCAGCCTGCTTCAGCCCACTCAGCAGCACAGTGACATGGCTGCCCTCTGGAGCTGGGAAAGGGTTGGCTGGATACATGCTCTGTATCGGCAGGAACAGGGGTCAGGAGGAAACTGCTCAGGAGAAACCGTTCTGCTGTGTGCACCCTGCTCTGTTCAGCCTAAAACAGCAAAGACCCACAGGGAGCTGGATTTATGGCAACCAGAGTCTTCTCTACCTATTTGGTTGTTGTCTTCATTAAGCCCAGAAATGGCCCTGATGTGAACAGGAAGGGAGAGCAGGCTCCGTTGAGGAGGCGTTTTAGCCGAGGCAGGAAACCACAACAGGAAGCCGTCAGTGGCGTTTGCAGCTCCGGTGCGGGACTAGCATAAACCATATCAGGCGTAGCACAAATAAGCCTGAGATGTGAAGACCCTTTCATCAAATTCATCAAATGAAGCAAAGTGGGGTCTTGGCAGACCTGCCAGTCCTGGATACAGAAGGCAAATGAAAACACCCTGTAGCTCAAACCCTAACTGGAATCAGCGCTTGGAACCAAAGCAAACGTCCTAATCCCTTGATGCCTCCAGGCATCAAAGCAGCCCAAACACTGGACAGGCGTATCCCTCAGGTTCAGCTCCTGAGACAAGATGACTGCCAGGTCTTCCTGACCTCAGCCTGGTCCCAGGGGAGGGCAGGCCCCAGGAAGGTGGGTTGAAGGATGTGGAGAGCGAGGATTGCAGCTCTTCATTTTAACTGCAGAGTCAGGTTCGTGAGTCACATTCACAAGTCAAGGAGGCAGAAGCGCTGAGTAGGCAGTGGAATTTTGATGGCCTTCTTCATGTGCTGCTAATTTCCACTAGCAACCTGGGATAAATAGTGATTAGGTACAAGGACGCTACACCCAAACATGCTGATTCCCTTTTTTGGAAAGTCCAGGACCAGAACATCACAGCAAATGGAACAAGTTTGACAATTGTTCAGGCAGGTGAAAATGAGATGGCAGAAGCCATTGATCACCATCAAGCTCACACAAAGTTTCCAGCTGCCTACACAGGCGGCTCTGTAATAAACAGACTGCTTTTCCTCTCCAAGCACAGGGCTGTGAATCAAGAAAGCCTCACAGAGATATGAGAGTGAACCCAGGGATCAGAGGTTGGTTCAGGCTATGCCACCCATTTCATACAAGCCTTGCTGCCACAAATGAACCCTATTAGAAAATCACCCTTATTAGAAAAAACTTCTAAGTCTCCAGCCATGAGGGAAAGCCAACCCCTGAAGTCTGAGAGCAGATTTGAACAGGATGATTTATAGCCCCTCTAAAGCTCTTGCTTTTAAAAAGTTTGTCCTACCATCCTGGCTCTTTCTATTGCCCATACACCAGCCCAGGGTCTTCTGGGCATAGCTAAGCTCCTCTTCCAAAGTACAGGTCTGTTCCTTAGCACTGCCTCTGGGTGGACCTGAGCAACCCTGATACAACCTCAACAGACCTGCACAAACCTCATACAACTTTGTTTTCCCATGTTGTAAAATGCAGACAAAAATGAGAACTGATTTCAGGGACTGCTTTTGTGAACATAACAAACTAGTGCCTGGAAGAAGCTGTGCAATAGACTCTCCACCACTATTCATTCCAAGTAATAGGGCCTGATTTTTCCAGCACCTGCTTAATCTCTGTCCCTTGGGCTGCAGCAGTCCAGGTGCTGGATGTTCCTGTTGGCTTCAGGCATACTTCCCAGGTTAGAAACAGCACTCAGGGAGAACAGCCATAAAATCAGGGCTCCTGTGATAATGGCCACGTTTGCCAGTTGGCGTTACGATGTGAAGATGCACTGAAAAAGCAACACCCACGTAAAAAGTAGTCGGATCTGTGCATCAAGACACACAGGAAAGCCAAGCAGGAAGCTATTGAGATGTCAGTCAATCAGATCTATATATAGCTGGCCACTTGCCTTTACTTAGATCAGACAAGAACTGTCAGGAACTGGTTTGATTTTATAATTTCTCAGAACAGCAGAACCACTTTGTGTGAATCCGGAGCCAATCCCTGAGAGCAGCGGGGTGCTCTGATGAAATCAGAGGAGGCACTGGCAAACTTTAGCATCCTGTTAGGACCGTATTTGCCGTATCATTGTCCTGGCAGCAATAATCCCTTCTAACACAACCCTGGGTGGCTGGGTCAGCCTTGGGTAGAGGAGGGACATATCTGGGGGAGACCAGAGAGGGCTGGAGGATGGGAACTATGTGATGGGGAACCAGTCTGGATGGGTATAAAGGGTGTCGGGGGGTGGGTGTGTGCTTTGGAGGTGGTGGTGGGAGCTACTGCTGGGGTTTGTGTTGGCGATGTGGGGAGGGGTGTTTTTAACAATTCTCTAAAAGGCGTTTAATTGGGGAAGGGGGAGAGGTAGCTAAAAGTAAGATCTGCCATGGTAAATGTGGTATGGCTGAAAGGTGAGGTCAGCCTGTCTGATGGGGGCTGGGGTCTCTGAGCTCCTCTACGGGTCTCTTCTCTTGCCCCCCCCCCCAGGGCTGGGGTTGTTGGGGGTGGGAGGGTCTGAACTGTGGCACAGGCGGCTGGGTGGATTGCTGACGGGCAGGGGGAACAGCCCAGCCTTAAGGGCTTGCTTGCCCTGCAGGCAGGAGCACTGCATGGGTGAAGGCAGCTGGGTGGGTGTGGGGCATGAGTTCTGACCCGAGCTCCGAACTGGCCTGTGCTGCCTCATCGCCTCCTCATGTGAATTCGCCTCTTTGACCACCTCATGGGAAAGAAAGATGCTTCTCATGGTGCCTTGCCTACACCCACCTGCAGTTAATGCAAGAATAAATGTGCTTTCTTACAGTGCTGTTTGCAGCCCCTTTTCAGTGCTTTAGGAGAGCACTGAGTAAAGGTTTGTACCCAAGATTATCTCAACCCTCCTGTTTACTGAGCTCTCCAGGAGTGCTGCAGGAGCTCTGCTGGTCCCCATGGAGGGGCAGCTGGCGTTAGGAGTTGGGCTGAGCCTGACAAGCAGAGGCTGTGGCACAGCAAAGGTGTAGGCAGGGTTTAGAGGTGGGAGCAGAGTATGAGGTGAACAGAGGGATGGCAGAAAGCAGAGTGAGTCTCAAGCAGCAGCTGCTTCCCTCTGTACCTGCAGAGTTGATGGGCATGTACAGGGATGTTCTGGCTTCCTCGGGGCTGCAGAGGAGCAGCAGTTCCCCATCCTTTCTGCTGGATTCCCTTCTGTTGTTTCTGATTTGATCTGAGAACTAGATTTACAGTGGAGAGCCTGGTTGAAGATGTGAAGAGCTGAAAAGTGTCTGCAGTGTACAAGTTCCCTTTCCAAGTCATTCTTCTCGGGAGTAGTGGGTACCATGCAAGAGGGTGAACTGAAGAGCTGATTCCTGGAGCTCAGGATTCATTAAATCTTAAATAACAAAAGACTTGAAATAACTTCGATTCAACTTGAAATGCTTCTTAGTTCAAAGAAAAACCTGAAAAACTTAACTTTGGATAGGCCTGACTACATTCTTCTAATTGTTCTTGACTAATGTTTAATTTTTATTTATGCACTCCATGGCAGCTCTTCCCAAGATTTCCTCATGAGCAC